CACGTGCCCATAAAGTAGACGCTTAGCTCTGAAGGTGCCTACATAGGAACCCCTTTAAACCCCAAGTAGATACCCGAAGGTTCCAAGAGCCCAATAATCATATACTCTCCTAAGTATTAACCTACAAAACCATTATCCTAAACTAAAGCCTAACCGCCTTTTAAGGCCTAAGCATACAGATTCGACTTGAGCGTGCAGCATAGTAAACACCTAGTGGGGCTGCCAACTGTAAGTAACTCAGCTACGGCGGTAGTTGAGTTATATACGGTCATATGTATGTATATATATATATAGATAGCTATTTTTATATTAATTTTTATATTTATTTATATTTCCACCAAAATATATATATATATATAAATATTAACATAGCGAGTCCGCCAGCCCTTCAACCCTAAATCCTAAAGTCCTAAACTTTTCACGCCAGGCCCCCGAACCCCAAAGACCAGACCCTGCAGCCCTATCCGGCTTAGGGCTTGGGGGCTTGGGGTTTGAGGTTTAGGGTTTAGGGCTTAGGGCCTGAGGTTTAGGATCTAAGGTTTAGGGTTTAGGGCTTAGGGTTCAGGGTTTAAGGTTTAGGCTTTGAGGTTTAGGGTTCAGGGTTGAAGGCTTAGGGTTTGAGGTTTAGGGTTTAAGGCTTAGGGTTTGAGGTTTAGGGCTTAATGGGATTACCCCCAACTCGCCGAAGAGCTTCACGGTGCGCTGCAGGTGATCCAGGGCATCCAGATGAATCGGTGTTTCCTTGGAGCTCGGCGTGCGGTGAAGTTGTGCTTTAGGGTGTGGGGGCTTCGGGTTCTGCAAGGGTTTTTGGGGCTTTAGGTTCGGGACGTAGGGGTTTAGGGCTTCGGCTTTCGGGTTTAGTCCGTTCACCACTTAGTTGCTGAGTTCATTAAGCACAAAAAAGTCTACACTTTCAGTTCTAGAAGGGATCATATTCTCCCAAAAAGCTTAAAGTGTACTCCTTCAGCTACTAAGACAGTTTGTGAAGGGAACCTGCAAGCCGGGGATGTAGCATTACTTTTGCTAGTCATGCTAGCACACCCCCCCTCCGAAGGAACCTCAAATGTACGCTCAGCAATATTCCAAGCAACTCTGTCTACACTCGCCAAAGCCCTAATACACACCCTAACTAAACCCTAAACCCCAAAGCCCTACTAAACATCCTCATTGCTTCACGTGGCATCCTGTCTCTCCGCCTCACCCTAAGTTAAAGGAAACTACAGGTGGGGAGTTTAGGGTATATAGGGCTTCCATAAGGCTTCTATAGGTATATAGACCTTCTATAAGGCTTCTATAACGGTAACTACCCACCTGAAAATGGAACAGCCCCAAGCCTCAAACCTGCCAGAATCCTACACGCCATACCCAACATGCTATCACTCTAAACCTCATACCGTAACCCTGAAGGTGACAAAACAAAGGCTTGGGGCTATACTATACTTGTGGGGACCTGGCAAGTTAAGTAGCTATATTTTTGTCTTCTTGTAAAGCATGAGAAGTAAACATCAGAATAATGATAACCCCAATGCGGATCCTTTTTATGTTGTTACAACTCCACTCATTACCTACTTACTAAGTCCCACGACCCAGTTGAGTGAATATGCAATCACAAAGTTGGGAACGAATTCCTAAGGAGAGTCTGGATGAACAAGCCACGACTCCGTAAGAAGAAGTCGTCCGAGATCTGGAAATGCCGTGGCCAGGGAAAGTCCCAGCCAACCTGTTGAACATGGAGGCCCGTTAATCTAGCATTGAATCAAACCCTAAGGGTCCATGTATCCATATGAGTATACTTTGACCCTAAAGTACCCATATAGGGACTACTTTAAGGCCTAAGTATATCCATTTGGGTACATGGACCCTTACGGAAAGTTTAGGGATCAACAAACCGCACTAGCTACACCAGCTACGCGGATAATGACCTACCTCTCGTCGTGAGAGCTCCTGAAGCAAGCTAAGCAAAGGCTTATTTCTGGGCACCTAGAACTGCCCCATGCCATCCTGAAACCAAAGGCACGTGGGTGACAAGGCCGCGGCCACCCCGACATCTAATTTCTTCTTCAGGAACTTGACAATTTCAGGTAGTATAATAGGGATCTGTAGTAAATAGCAGGGTTTCCGTACTATGGCACTCAAACTAAGTTGCTTGACAAGAACCCAGGCATTTAGAGTTAGTTCACGGTGCGTGGGCGTGCGAAGCTGGAGGACATGTGCCCTAAGGCTCATGGAAAAAATCCTGCATTGCCCATAACAAGGAAGATAACATAATTCCCACATTTTAGGTTCCCTAAGGTAATGCAGGATTTCTATCATCAACAGTATCTAGTAAATTTAAGGTTTAGGGCCAAAGTTTAGGGGGCCTTTTCGGGGGTAGAAAATTTTCCGAGGGATCCTATGTACTGTTATGGGGGGTAATTCCCTGAATCATATTAGTAATTCCTAGTCTAGACTGAACATTCTATACTATATAGGTTATATAGGTACATAGGATCGTTTGGGACTATACAGGTACATGGAGCCGTGCGGGTGAGCTCTGCCTCTTAAGTATTAAGAACTTCCACGAACTCATGAACAGGAAACACAGGTTGATGCAGCAAACTCACATAATACGTGGGGCTGAATACGGAAGCGCTAGAGTTAGAAATACTGTTGATGGTAGAAACCCTGCATTACCTGAAGGACCCTAAACTATGGGAATTATGGTGTATTCCTTATTATGGGTAATGCAGGATTTATACCATCAACCGTAGCATTACCATGACTTCCCGTCGGGAGCTGGTGCCTCAACCTCCTTTAGGGCTCAGGGTGTACCCACAGGCTCCATAACAGTTCCTTTTTGCGGTTTATATTTAGGATCCTAATAAGGTAATCCCCCAAAAAAGGAACTACTATGGAGCCTCTGGGTAGAGCAGGAGTCGTTGAACAATCGAACCCCGCGCCCAACCTGTACCAGCACCCAGCTCGAGAATGCGCACTCCTCGAAACGGCTCGGTTTTTGGGCTTGGACTAATTGGCATGGTTGATGATATAAATCCTGCATGACCCTAAACAAGAAAAAAACACCATAACTCCCTAAAAGTTTAGGGTCTTTAAGGTAATGCAGGATTTCGATCATCAACCCGTAGCTTTCGGGCTGCGTCGTTTCTGGTTGAAGTACTGGGTGCCTTTGAGACTCATTGCGGCTTCAACTACGAAAAAACGCACAAATCGAACACTCGGAAAGACCTGCACCGTGCACCCTAAGTCCCAAAACTGTGGCTAGACCCCAAAAGCAGAACGTTAACCCTAACTCCTGGCTTGCTTATAATTTGGCCTCTAGAGGGAACGCCGAGTTGACATGTTCGTACTTCTAGTATAGCGGCCTGAGTCTCGAATAAGACGAGTTTGGGGCAATTCCAGCATACTATACTTACAACAAGGGACTGAAAGGGAAGACTAGCCCAGGAGACTCCAAAACCCTTAGTTAAGGAATATACCTTAAATCATATTTGGAGTCCTACGATAATTTAAGGTCTATTCCTTAATTAAGGCGTTTTGGAAGATCTGGGAGTACTCATTATTCCGACCCCTGCATTAATCATAGCTGCCTGGGCTACTTTGACGCAAAACCCTCCTCACCACCTATGAACCTGCAAAAGCAAGTATGAACCACAGCCGCAAATCTCTAGACCTCACAAAGCCTCCAAAAGCCCAAAGCCTCAAAACCCTCCGAACGACCAAACTCACGCGGACTTCTCAGACCCTAGCCGCCCTGGACCCCTACATCCCCCTGCACGCAGAAGAGGTCCAAACAAGCACCCGCCAGCCGTGGAGTACTTGGAGGATCTTGGGACTTAGTAAGTAGGGTTATAAGTACCTTAATTGGAGTCATAAGCAATTATAAGTATAGTTACCTTATTTCACCTCAGTTACTAAGTCCCGTGATCCTTTAAGTATGTCCAGTGCACCTGGTTGGAGCAGCCCATACTCTCGCCCGTGCGCTCCTGGAACTGGGCTCTTGTTAACCCTAAACCCTAAACATTAAACCCCTAAACCCTGAACCCTAAACCCTTAAAACCCCAAACTCCAAACTCTAAACCCTTAAACCCCTAAACCCCTAAACCCTAAACCCTAAACCCTGTTACTTGCTGGTACCGTTTCTATGGATAGGAGCTTCGAGTTTCCGAGGTAGGGTTTAGAGGGTTTCGGGGGTTGGTCTTGGGGTTTAGAGGCTTAGGGCTCAAAGCGTAGAGAAGCTGATCCCGTTAAGAATCGCTGCGGTTGATGCTTGAAATCCTGCATTACCCATAATAATCAATGCAACATACTTCCCATAGTTTAGGGTCCTTAAACCCCTAAGCCCTAAACTCTTAAACCCCTAAACCCTCAAGGTAATGCAGGATTTATATCAGTCCCCCTGTTCCCTCTTCCCTTTCAGCCTGATGCCTTGCCCTGAGCTTCTGAGACACCAAGGACACCCAAGGGCTCTCCCGAAGAGGTACCACGCGCAACCCGCAAATACATTTTTGGTGAAATAGGGTCTAGAGTCTAGGGTTTAGGGTTTAGGGTTATAGTCTCCGTTTTGAAGCGAAAAACGAGTGTTGACGCAACAGAAAATCGCACAAACAGCCACTTGCTCTCCGAGTGTCTCAAGAAGGACATCAGTTCCACTGCCGCGCCCCATACCAGAGTAGAGCACCTTCATGCTTAGGGATTTAGGGATTTAGGGCTTGGGGCTTAGGGTTTAGATATTTGGGGATTTGGGGAGTTAGGGTTTGGGGCTTAGGTGTTTCCGGCTTCGGGTTTGGGTACTGCTGGCCTACAGTACTATTCAGGGCCTACCTGGAAAACCTGGTAGCCGGAAATAACAGGCCACTGACGAAAGGAGCTTGTTTTGAAACCCAGCGCCCGATTTGTGTTTGGGATTGTAGGGGTTTTCAAGAGGAATGTTATTTAGGAGGGATGAGTTCTGAGTCGGCATCGTTCGAAACATGTCAAACAGGATCGGACCTGTCTTTTTTTCACTTCGGCGGCAGGTGGATCCAGACGTTTGTCTGATATTTACGCAACGCCTGCGCATGCATTTGACGGGATGACACATGTGTCGTTGTCGCTGCAACACGGCCAACATAGTCCTCGTCGAGCTGCGTGCTCTCGCTCAGAGGGTTGAGCGTCCACCGTCTTCCAGAATTGTAGCCAGTAAATAGAACATCCACTATGTGAATGAGGGCATGATATTTCGGCGTGAGCTTGAACCGGGTCTTCTGCAATTCAAACGCTCGGCATGAGGTTTCCAAGTAAGATTTTAAAAACTGCATCCCGGCCTCAGCGGCCAACCGGCATCGCTCGTCTGAAAGCCATAAGCCTGACGAATATAACGTCCTCATAAAACGATTTGCAGATCGTAGACTTTGGAGTATGCCCAGCAGGTAGGCATCCGAGTCGTTTGAATGCTCGAGGTGATTGGCCCAGAAAGCTTCAAGAAAAGAGCACATAGCTGCAGTATCGGCCCCCTTAAACCAGTTCCTTAGACTTATGTATGTTATAGCTCTGTATAAACCTGACATAGGAAAAAAAACTATATAGCCTATTCTATTCGAGAACCGAAATCGTGCTGAAAAGAAGAAAGGCACCCAACCGGATAATCGAAGTCCGCTCCGAATGCCAAAAGATGCCGAGTGAGCCCATCCATATGCAGGGGCGTCCCAGTGCTTTTGCAGTGCTCCACTGCCAAAGCATATATTGCATCAAGCTGCTTTGCAAAATCACCAGGACCAGCCAATGCATAGTCGGTAATGACAACCTGACATTCCGAAAATCGGGTTGCCAAAACTCATTAAGTATAGTTGTATAGTAACCAAGAACAACAGATTGACTTGTGATGCTACGTGGCAATACCACTGCCAGCAAGTTCAGCGAAAACTCCTTTATGAAGCGTGTGAAAAGTATCAAACTTGTGCATGAACTCCTTGGCCGGCGACTGCGGCACCCGACACAAGACACCCTCAGAATCCCAGGGAGAATGCTTCAAGTATGTCGCTCGCCATGCAGCGTTGTCGCCATAATCGTTGGCATCATAGCCTTCCTCTCCAGCTCGGCAGAGATGGCAGAAACCACTCTTTTGAGAAACCTGAAATACACCCTTGCGGCAGAAGTGCCTTGTCAAATTTCCTATGCGAGCTTGTATCGGCCAGTCACCTTTAAGCCCAAGCAAAGCTACATAGAAAGTTGTGTCCTTGCCGCCAAGTTTCACTGAGACACCATTGTAAAATAAATCCACAAGCTCGTCAGCAAGTCCCTGCATGATCCCATCTAAGTAGGATTTCGATTTGCTGTAACACTTCTTGTGGCAGACCGTATACAAGAATCTCGTAGCATAGGAATTTCCAATGAAATTGAGTGCCATTGCCGACTCACAATCATCGGATGATGCTAGGCCAAAACCAATTGGCGATTGCCAATTCACAATCATGACAGCAGTCTTCTTCAATGTTTGTCCTTCGTCAGCATGTATCTGCAGTGGCAAAACCTGTGCCATGCGGCCGCGATGATGACTGAAGACTGCGTGCAGCGGGTCGTGCCCTTTCCATCTCCGCCAGAACTTTGGCAGAACTTCAGTGTAGGAGCCGCTGCTGGTAGATCCCCACAATCGAGAAAGCTGGTCTCGATTAGCCAAAGCTTGCAGAAAATCTTTCACTGTAAATACCGGGTGCATCTTGTCATTACCAACATCCAGCTGGTGTATTTCGATAGGACAAGACAAGCCACTCTTTTGGAAAGCTTTAGAGGAGCTGTTTTCGTGCCTTGTCTGGGATTGGCGATGTAAATCCTGAAGCAGCATTGTAGACCGAAGATCATCAGCAGTATCAGGGTCGGCTGCACAACATTCCTCAAAGAAGCCAGAGGCAATGCTACATAGAAGTCGGTCAGAGACCTTCAGGGAAATATACATCGTAAGGTTGGTTAGTGGCTGGGAGTTCGTGTAGGGTTACGGGCTTATATATCCTTAAGATATTCATTGAAAAAAAAGCTTGGGTTTTGCAGGGTTTACGGGTTTGTCATGTATACTTCAGGGTCACAGTCTACGTGTATTCGCAGCCCCAACCCCTGCTCCACGAGCACGTGCCAAGGCTTTCGACGCCGGGCCGTGATGATCAGCAGGAGCCTTGCCGGCAGCACCTGCGTGGCACAAAGCTCCAATTCAGAATGGGCTCAGGGGTAGGCAACTTTCAGGCTCTCAGCAGTGTGTGTTCAGCTGTTTTGACATCGCACTTCAGATGATGCCCCAGGGAACGCGTGATTGGATCATATAGGTATATGATCGAAGCCTTGCGGCCGCAGCACAACTATTTGTGCATGCGGCGAGAAGTGCTTGCCCCATCATCTTGGATTGCGCTATCCAAGGATACCCGGAGTTCACGAGCCCTAGGGAGTATAGGCTAGTCTAGATAAACCTGAAGTAAATAAAGATAAGCATGTTGTGCTCAGCAGGGCAAGCTTACTTCCCAGTCTGCCCTCCCCTAGCTTTGGCTTTGGCAGCCTTAGCTTTCCCCTTAGCCTTAGCTTTCGGCGCCCGCTTGGGCTCATCATCATCGCCCTCAGCCTCACTGCCATCATCATCGTTCTGGGCTGCTTTCGCTTTGGACTTGGGCAGCGGTCGCAGAACTGTCCTGGGAGAGGGCCAAGACTTAAGGTATCCAGATAAATATAGAGGTTTTAGAGATATATCATAGTTCGACGATTTATATAGATTGGGTTCTTTACCAGGTTTTAGGGTTAGTTGACAGGGATACTTAATGAAATTGTAATAGACATGTTGGTTAACTCTGTCCTCCTCAATTTCTTCTCTTCCATAGTGATTCGGCTCGACCTGACAAACCGAGGGGAGTGGCATCACGACAAGCGCTGGCTGCGGACTGGTGCAGAGGCTTGCATGGGATTCAGACAGGGCACAGCTTCTCAACCGATGCCATTGCGTGCTTGAGCTTTTGCATCGCCCTGGCTGGCATGGGGAACCCTAGAGACCCTATACATACATTTAATATTCAGAGCACAACACACATATAATGGCAGATAGGAGACTCTGCGGTTGGATCCATGCTGCCATTCTCGGCCCGGATCTCTGCAAGATCATCGTGTATCTTCATCAATTGCTCGGAGTGATCGCTGAGTTTCTTCCCTTCCCCAATTAGCTTCTTCTTCTTCAGCTCCTCGAGTGTCTTATCCGCTTTGATTCGAACCTTGAGGATCTCGCCCAGAATCGCGGGAATCTTCTCGATGTCCTGCACCAGGGTTTTTTTGTTCGCTTGAGGGTTAACGGTTAAGGGCTGTAGGGCTATATATATAGGTTTAAGGCTTGGGTTCAAGGGTGCATTCGAAGTTGCAGGGTATACATTATATACATTACAAAACTAAGATTCTCCTAAAAGAAGATGCTAAGCTATAAGGTTGTAGACCTCCAGCGCGGTTTCCACTTCGTGCTGCTCATCTCGCTTCTTCTTGTTGAGTCGGGGAGTCGAGGTTCGGGTCCGTCTGAGCTTTTTGCGCTTGTTCTTCGGGGTCGGGGAGACTCTATCATCTTCGTCATCATCATCATCCGACTCCTGGGACTCATCATCTTCCTCCTCCTCGTAGCATGGCAACGCTTCGTTGCCTAGCACAGGAGCCGGGAGGCTAGCATTGTCGTCGATGATTTCCACGTATTGTGAAAACTCCTCCTGGTGGCTGCGGGATAGGCTTCCGCTGGTTCGCAAATCGATCCAATATTCCAGGATATGGCGTTGGTACTTGTCCCTCCTGCAGTGCAAAGCCAGTCGTGAAACACAACTAGACTACAATGACCGAACCCCCTCTTTCATGGATGTTTGCAGGCCTCGTCAGCTGCCGCTTCCTGGCCTTGGTCTTCGTGCAGTATGCGACGATGGCTTTGATGCGATCCCTCGGCTGCCCACACACCCCTATCTTAGAGTTAGGGTTTAGGGATTATAATATATATATATATATATGTATATATATATATGGTTTATAGGGTTTAGGGTTTCAGCCCCATATAACCCTAAACTTCTAAACCCTAAACCCCACAAAACACTGGAGATCACTTGGCCAAGCCTTGAGCAACATGTTTTCGATTTGAGAAAGTTTATAAGTTTAAGAAAGATCTTATAATTGTGCTACGTTGCTTCTCGAACTTAAGTTCGCTCTTCATGGCGGACTCACTATAGAAGCCACTGTCGATGACCACACGTCCTTCTTTGACATTGCGGATCACCATTTCCATTCGCTGATTGAAGGATTCCTTAGAACTGCAGTTTGGCAGCAACAGACACAGAAGCCACACAAATGAGTCGTGAGTTTCATGCAGTAGAGAAGCCTTGTCACCCTTGCAATTGATCAGTGCCACAATGAGCTGCTTCCGGGTCTTCGTGTTTTTCCAACGTTCGGCCACTTCCGAACTCACTGCCAAGGTGCCCCGCTTGGCCGATGGATTGCACATTCGACGCAGCGTGGCTTCATAATTCTTGTACTCGCGGGCGGTGATCTGGATCGTACTCGATCTCTTGGCCTGCAGGGCTTGAGGGCTTTGTGGTTTTGTACAAGGGGCTATATTTATCTTAAGGTCTCAAGTAGCTTATCATATCGGCTTTTAAAATGGAACCTTGGAGTCGCCGGATTTCTTTGATCCCGTGTCAGGACTTGAGCAGGATTCTGCTGGGGACTTCTCGTGGCTGCAACTGCGGTCTGGGGTCGATTTTCTGAGCTCTGGAGTCCTTGCCTTGCTTGGGGTTCTGCTGGGCTCTCGAGTCTTTGCCTTGCTCGGGGTTGTGCTGGGCTCTCGAGTCTTTGCCTTGCTCGGGGTTGCGCTGGTCTCTGGAGTCTTTGTCTTGCTGGGGGTTGCGCTGGGTGCTCGAGACTGCTTCTTCTTCTTCGGGGTTTTGCTGCGGCCCCGCTTTGGCTTGCTGGGCGGTTTGCTTTGCTGTGTCTTGCTCGGGGGTGCACCATGCTCTGCTGTGTCTAGCTCCTGAGGGCCTGGCTTGCCACTGGTTTCACATGACTCTCGGGGCTTGTCTGGGGATGCTTTGGACTTTTGCTTGGGCACGGCTTCAGTGGGCTTCGAGGTAGCTTTGGCCACAGCTTCAGCAGCTTTGGGGGGCACGTTTGGGGATGCTGGGCGTCTTCGGCCCCCCTTGTCCGCTCGCGAAGACTTCACTGGGGATGCAGATGGGCTCAATAGCACAGGGGCGAAGATTGATGGAGTCCTCGGGGCGTCCTTCTCGTAGCCCGCATGCTCGGTCCCTTTCTTGCTTGCTTCAGGGCTATGAAACAACTTTCGGCAGGGCAAGGGGGAAGTGTCAACCCTACCCAAAGCTTCCGCATCTCCAGGTAGCTTCTCACCTAGATATGGATCGGGCTCATCAGGCACCTCATGTTCACCCCAACATACAAGTGTACCCAGAAACACCTTTGAAAGAACAAGTGCAACCACGAAACAAACTATTTCAGGTATGCTGCTGTGTCTGTGTGCTCTTCCTTCACGAGATGACTGTGGAGAAGTTCTCGAAGCTCATGGAAGTCCTGAGTGGCCGGCTGCATTGAGGGTAATAGGCCTTATAGGGTTTACGGTTTGTAGGGTTTAGGGTTTATAAGATATAGGGTTTATATAGGGCTTTTATAGGGTTGTCGAGGGTTTATGGTTGGTTTCACCTAGAATTATATAGGCATACCGGTACCTTGAAACATGTTGTATACGAGTCCAAGCAAACGTGCTGCCTAGGCACACAATCTACATCCATAATCAGCTCATCGTCTGAAGACTCGCCCCCCACTGCGCTCGAATGCTCGGGTTCTGTAACTGAATGCTCGGACAAGGGCCCCTCTGCGCTCGAATGCTCGGGTTCTGTGACTGAATGCTGGGACTCGGGCCCCGGTGCGCTCGAATGCTTGGGTTCTGTAACTGAATGCTTGGGCCCCGGTGCTGTTGAATGCTTGGCTTCTGCCATAGCAGAACGCTCGGGTTCGAAAGCCTGCGAAGGCTCGGCTGTCGATGCTCTGGTGTGCTCGGGTTGGGCTTCCTGGGTCTCGGGATAGGCTTTCTCCCAAAATGTATACGATCTTGGCTGTGCATCAGTGGACACTGGTCGCGAGATACACGAAGGCTTCGGCTTCTCCACTCGGGCAGGAGTAGCAATAGGGCGGGCAGGAGCAGGGTCTACCGCTGCAGCTAGTCCAGCAACGGGCCCGGACTCCTTGGGGCTGGCCTCAAGCTTTCGAGCCTTCATCTTGAGGCTCTCCAGCATCGCCTTGGCAGCCTGGGATAGAATCAATTGGGGGTTCTTTTGTTTAAAGCAAGGGCATCTGTAGATATGCAGGTAAGATACTCGTAAATCATTTTCAATATCCTCTCGAAGTTCCAACTGCGGCTCCTTCTTAACATCTTGGGAGTCCATAAAGGATTGTCCAGCGTAGAGGGTGCGGCAGCTGATGGATCTGGTCTGCAGGCGTAGGGGCCTGGCCTTGCCCGCCATGACTAAACAGTTGCAAAAGCCTGTGATTCGGGCCACGGACATGTGTTGAATCTGTCTACAATTAGCAGTTTAGGAATTACGATTTTTTATGGCACTTTGACGCATAGTTATGGCACTTTACGCTTTTTTTCGGCACTGCGTTTTTTGTCTAAAACGCAGCAAGACCAGTTAATAGTGCTAAATAATTAAAAAACCCTACCCAGTAGTCTACGGTGAACAAAGCAGCCGACTCAGAATACGGCACCCGTGCGGCAAACCTCTCCGGAAGCTACGCAATATAACCTTCCAGAAGAAACCCCTCCCAAGCCCGGAGTAGTCCTTGTAAACCCTTTATAATTCCCGAACCCACCTGAACAAACCCCGTGGCTACACCCCCAGACACCAAGGCGAAGGCCCAAGCATGTCGCCAAGAAGCAACACATACGTGTGTGTGTGTATATATATGTAGACTCAAGCACCCTTTTTAAGGAGCAGTTGTCCATATGTACATGTATAGAAGACTGCATGCAGGGATCTATATATATATATATATATGTACATAGATACACACACATGTATATATATATGTATGTATATATATATACATACACATGCATACACGGCTCTACGTCTATAGATAGTCTTCCAGGAGAGAGGGAGAGAGACACAGAGAGAGGGTTAGAGAAAGAGAGAGAGAGAGAGAGTGAGTGAGTGAGGGACGGAGGGAATGAGTGAGCGAGCGAGCGAGTCAGTAAGTCAGCGAGAGATGCACATATATATATATATGTATATATGTATAGATAGATATGTATGTATGTATGTATGTATGTATGTATGTATGTATGTATGTGTATATGTATATGTATATGTATACGTACATGTATATATATATACTATATATATATTATAGTTGATTATTTATTCATATATAAATACACGTATGTATACGTATATATATATATGTATATGTATATGTATATGTACATATATATACACACACATATATTGTACAGATATACACGTGTGCACATGTGCATATCCATGCCCTCAGCCGGCCCCACACAAGAGCAGAGCCGCGTTTGCTCGCGATGGGATCAGCCTCCATAGTCTTTCACTAGTGCACGGACCATATGCTTTTGCTCGTCTGTGAGGTATAAGTTCTTGTTGCCATACACATACTCGAGCACCTCCCCTATCTTCGCGTCATACCACAAATCCTTTGGCACTTCGCGGAAAAGCGCTTCTTTCAGATCCTGCTGTACATCCATCGCCTCCAAACAAGAGTGCTGCACAAGATAGTTCATATATATATATATATGCATGCACACACACACACAAACACAGGATGAACCACACCAGCACCATCTAAGGAATTGGTTTGGCAACCTGCAACCCTGGAATCTGCCTCTGGCTCCTGCCGCCATTCGACTCGTGTCTCTTGGAAGCAATGCCACAGTTTGGTGAAGCGCAACGCGAAGCCGAAGGGATACTGCCTGGGGGACGGAAATTTGTTTAGGCTTTATATCTGGGTTTAAATCTACATTTAGTCTGCGGACAGGATACTGGGATCGCTTAAGTTTCTTGCTCTGCCCTGTGAAGCGTTTCTTCCCTCGTCGATCTTTGTAGCGGTACACCAAATCTCCTCGGCAAAGCTGTCGCTCGTGCTTCGTCAAACGACAAAACCTCCGGAAGTCCAAAATGGCTCTTGAGGAGCTCCACAAGACCGACCTCTTCGGCGTTGCAACCCCGAGCTTGCACAACCAGAAAGCCTGCCGGTAAACCTCGGATGCATTTGAGAGTTCGGGGTTCGGGTGTCGAGTGTTTTGTGGGGTATGTAAGGTAACAGTGTATTGGGGTTTCTCTATAGGATGATTTATACTTAATTGTAATCCAGGGACTTTGACGGCTTTGCACAGCTGCTGGAACCTCTTGTGGCGGTACATTAAGCTGGAAGCCGGTTGCTCTAGGCACCAATGGCAGCCGCGTGCCATCAATACCCAAGCCACGAGGCAAAACCTGCAAACGTCTAGCCCCGACCCCGTTTAGGGTTTAGGGCCGTTTAGGGTTTAGGGTTTATAGGTCCTACCCAAACATACATCGAGGAGAAGCAGAACAAACCTCACAGAAAGATTCGAGAAGCCTCGAGACCATGACATTTCCGTCCTCAACCCACTGCAGAGAAGTGTCCCCATGAGGATTCAAGAATCGCCGGCCGGAGCTGGCCATGCATATACTTACCCAGCTGGAGCATACCAATCCGAAGTGGACCACACCACCGGGCTTAACCCGTAGTGCTTGCAGTAGAAGCAACCTCAGATAAGAAGATCTTGGTGTAGATATGTAGGAACATATTGTTTATGCATATATATATATGTATATGTATATGTATATGTATATGTATATGTATATGTATATGTATGTGTATATATATATATATCTATCTATCTGTAAATAAATAAATAGATAAATATATATATATATATATAGATATAGATATATCATATATATGGAGACATATACACACATTATATATGTTATTAATCATTTGTGGTATGATTTGCTTTAGTATATATATATATGTGTATACATGCATCGATATTTCGTTTCTATATATATATATATGTGTGTGTGTGTATGTTTGGTTTGGGATTTTCGGAGGCTTTGTTCTTATGATGAAGTTTAGGCACACGAAGCCAGCCTTGCCCAACATATCCAAAGGATTGTTGCAGCGAGGGCGGAACCGAGCATAGGATCGCCAGTATCGAATATCCATCGCCGGAAAACGCAATCCATGAATACGCAATACTCGGCTTAACATCCCCACTCCGGCACAAACTTCGCAACCATCCAGAACCTGATCCCAGAAAAAGCCGACACAAGGTATGCCTATGGAATATACAACTGACTGCTGCATCTGGTTGACCGACCTCGTCCGGGTGGAGCTTCTGGGTGTGCAGAACGAGGAACATCAATAGGAGGAGAACCTGGGATCCGATGTTTGGTCTACGAGTCACTTTGCTGGGTAGTTTGGGGTTCATGAGTCACATATTAAATCAGGGGACCCCGGGTGCTCGGACACGAAGCAGCTGCTGCAGGATAGATCTCACCCGCTGTTTATCGATCATGGCAGCGAATATATGTAAAGATACGGTACCGGGCTTCTGAAAGAAGGCTGCGACTCATATAAAGCACGACAATGCTGCATCAGACATACAGTGCTTGCGTGTCAAATGCTCCATCAGAATCTTTCCTGTTCACACAGCATGCACACAACGAGCAGGGGCTTGGCAGCACCTGAAGATGAGGCTTCTGGGCGGCGCTGGCGCTTTTTCCATGCCCAGCTCATCGATGCTGTGGAAGTAACAGACCGGAGGCTGGTTAAGATCTAAAACATGCAATCTTTGCGACGTTCAGTACACAAGTGGACTCTGACATGTGTGCATGCAACATACCGACACTTTTCGCAGTCGGCTTGATCGGCAGATGTGCTGAAGCCCCATACACACATGGCCCCGAGAAGCTGTAATGTTGAAGTTCTCACGGAGGTTTGTGCTTGTGTCCAGGGACATATGTGCAGATACCCGTGTGCACACAAGGATAGCCCTGCGTGCAGCTGACCCTCATGCTGTACAAGAGACTGGTCATGCAGCCTCACACAGACATGTCTAAGACAGAAAACTCGAGCTAGCTCGAAAGTGAGGGCTGGAGTCACGCATGATCCTTGGAATCCTTGGAAGTGGCACGGGACCTAGCGGACCTAGCAACATAGTTGGGATCACGGCACCTCAGGCATCCAATCTTCGCATAACGGCATTTGGGACAGCCCAGCTCCGCCTTCGGCGGAGCATCCACAGCACGTCCTCCTCGGCCACGACCCTTGCGGACTGCACTCTCCGCCGGAGCATCTTCAATCACAGCACGTCCTCGGCCACGGCCACGACCCTTGCAGACTGCTTTCTCCACTGGAGCATTCCCAGCCACAGCACGTCCTCGTCCTCGGCCACGACCCTTGCTGACTGCATTCTCCATTGGAGCATCCCCAGCCTCAGCGCCAGCACGCCCACCCCGTCCTCGGCCACGACCCTTGCGGACTGCATTCTCCGCCGGAGCATCCACAGCACGGCCGCGGCCGCGTCCGCGGCCCCCACACTCTCCTGCCTCCGAAGAAACAGCTTCTGCTGCCACATCCGCTTCGCTGCAGGCCCTTGCTTTTGCCTTCGCCTTGCCCTTTGGCGATGCCTTGGCTTTCGCCCCTTCCTTAGCCTTCGCCTTTGCTTTTGCAAAGGCTTTGGCCCTCGCACGGATCTTGGCTTTGGGTGTTGCTTTCGCCTTCGCCTTCACGTGTGCACTTCGGGGTCCTTTCTTGGCCGGGCGTCTCTGCGCCCGCAAAGCGTTCTGATCCTGAGCCGTGACCATTGTCCCGGGTGTAACCTTGGATACGATTACATCTAATCCATACAGTACCATGCATGCCACATGCACCACAAGTTTATGCAAGCTAAGTCACAGCAGGAGGCTCACGATCCAAAAGAGGCATAGGATCCGAGGATCGTGAGGAAGGGGGCGGCGATGGAGTCGGAAGTTGTGTCTCCTAAAATCATAGAACGAACTTCTAAAACACACCTAGCTGAGGACATGCGTGGCACAGACAATCGTTGAAAAGAAAGCAGCGCCTCCTGGTCAGGATTAAGCTTGCTTCGAGTTCGGCGAAGAATAGATCGCGGCGCTGGTGGTGGTGGTGCCTCTGCTGCCTTGCGCTCCGGTTCGGGGCTCTCGTCGATAGTAATCGGAGGACCTGAATTGTGCACATTTGGAATTGCACGGGATCAACTGAAACGTTTAGGGTTTAGGGTTTAAAGGGTTCAGGGATATAGGCAAGTAGCAGCGTCGAATGCTCATCGAGTCTCGCCTCAGATATGAAGTTCAGTGCATGCAGAGCCTTTGCGAAAGCATAAATTTTAATGAAGCAGAGTAACTCCCCGAGCTTCTCCCTCAAAGCCGCGATCTCCCTTTGCACTTTC